TGTTACAGTAGTCCTTAATCTCATCATGCCATGTTATGAAAGATCATGACCCAATAATATTGTCCTATATGCCCCCAATATTACAACATATCACTTCTGCATTTTTAAAAAGCTGTTTATTAGTTCTCTCGTATCGTCATCTCGGTTATGGTTTCTGTTCAACCTTAACTTCCTAACACAGAACCACCTGTTTTTCAGGAACCTTATGAGACAAATTAGAACCATTCAGCAAATTTAAACCAAACACATAAAGCCTGCATGGATTTAAAAAAAAGCGACTTTTGTTCATGAATAAAATATGGTCCATATGGAATAAGGTCCGTGCAATTCATTGTCATGCCATTAAATAATTCAGTTTTTGAGGTAACAGCTTTCCAATATGTCGATTTATTGTATGCACAAATATGAATACAAACCTTATGTTATTATAACAAATGTTAAAAAACAAATATAAACACAACAAAGAAGTGCATGCTTTTTTAACATACTGAAGTAGCAGTAAAAATATAGTTCTGCCTCTTACAAATTGTAAAGCATCACTACCGAAGTAAACAGAGGAGTAAACACATTTATCACGGTAGTTTTAGTCCCCGAGCTCCCTTTAGAGCCGCAGTCCAGCTGGTTTTTGCTTGGCGCTGTGCTTTCTGGGTTTCCTTCGAAATGAACGGGTTGACAGGCGTCTCCTATCTGTTCACAGGCGAGGATGATGTATTTGGTCTCATTGCGGATGTTTCTGATCCCACACGCGCCCTCGGCATCGATCCGCACCGTTACGAAGGAGAATTTCTCTTTACTGATACACAGGTTACCGGAAAGGGTCTTACCCCCGGCCTTTGAACACACATTTTCAACCCGCTGTTTATCGCTGTTACGGAAGAACGACTGCGTCGGTCTGCCACACGTTTTAATTTTCTTCAGGAAAGTTTCCCAGGCGTTATTGTCCCCCGTTTCTGGCACCCCCTCGGGAATATGGCGCTTGAGGAAAACATTATGAGCGTTGTTGTACCTCGCTGGCAGACAAGGCTTAGTGTTTAAATCCACTGAGTGACTTTGAGGCAAGACAAAAGCCATAAGTAGCACAAAAGCAATCATTTTGAAGACCTGCTGTGAAGAAAGAGAAAAGGCAGATGTTCCTCCAGAATATTCCAGCTTCGCAGACGCAGAGCTCAGGTCCTCTCTCAAAGTCATCTAAAACAGCATGCTATAAACTACAGCTCTGCTGGCGTCTGTGGCATGAGCGTGGTTCTGTCTCTAAAAGCAAGCAACTCTATACATGTGAATGGGCAAGATGACATTTAACGATACTTACCGAAATGCTGAACTGCAGACCTTCGTGTTGATGTTTGTGAAGTTCTTCTTTTAATGTGGACAGTATCTTTTCACTTCCTTTAGCTAAACGACGTAGTATTTCCCCCCCCCCTTCTGGTGTGTATTTCTCTCTTTGAGTTTCAATCTTCAATTCTATGATCAAAATCCTGAGACTTGTTATGACACGTCAACCTTTTT